CATTTATGTCTATTGCTGTGGTTAGTAAAAGAGCGACAATATCAACATGGCCTTTAAGCGTCGCTATCATCAAAGCATTCTTTTGGGTTGAATAAGAAACCAAGTTAACGTCAGCGTTGTTCTGAGTTAGCATTTTAGCAATCTCTAAATGCCCTTCTTGTGCAGCAATCATTAAAGCACTAAAGCCCTCTTTATTGACAAGATTTACATTTATTGCTCTCTGACGAAGTAGCAATTTAACGACCTCCGTGTGTCCTTTGATTGCTGCTATCATCAACGCATTAAATCCAGTATCGTCAGATAAATTAATCTGAGCGCCTTTAAGTATACTTAAACAGAGTTTCAAAAATTGTGCATTCCCTTGTATAGAGAATTTAATAAATGAATCAACATCAGGGTCATCGGTGCCCATTTCTGTACGTGTTCCAAATTTTTTATTATTCACACAATAATCATATCTTCTCAAAAGGGTTTTGCTAGCGCCATTAAGTTTATGACAAATTAAATCTGCTATATGGAAATTATTATTATTTTTAGCCAAACTGTGAGCTTGAAATGTATGTTCATCACTGAAATCGTAGTTGGTCTCACGTTCTAAAAACAGATTTACAATTTGTAAATTACCATTTTTAGCAGCATACATTAGAGCAGTGTCGCCATCTGCATTTACAACATTGCAATCTGCTTCGTGATCTAACAGCAGCTTCACTATTTCAACATTTCCCTTTTCAGCAGCAACAATTAGACAGCTATAGTTTTGTTTATCTACCGTTTTGCAGTCCGCTTTATGTTGTAAAAGTATTTTCACGACATCAGTATGTTCCCTTAAGGTAGCTGACATTAAAGCACTGTGGCCTTTATTATTTTTTACATTTACCTCAGCATTTAATCTTAACAACAACCGCTCCACGATTTTTAAATGCCCTCTAGCAGAAGCAATCATTAAAGAGTTATTGCCTTGTGAGTTGATGAGTTTATAATTGACATCCTTGCTTAATAAAATAACCACAATTAAATGGTGACCGTTACGTGCAGCAAACATAAGTGCATTAAAGTTATGTTTGGTTACAGCATGGCAATTTGCACCTTTGTCTAGAAGAGATTTAACCAAGTCGACGTGGCCTTTAAGTGAAGCCAGCATTAGAGGGGTCACACCATTGTCGTCGGTTGAGTTGATGTCGTGGTTTTTTAGGAGGAGACATTTTACTTTCTCTATTTCACCCGAATGAGCTGACTTTAGTAGCTCACTCCAGTGTGATTTTCTTGTGCGGGATAATGACCTGTTTCGTTGTACAATGTCAAAATTTTCCAGTAAATTCATTTTTAAGACATCAGCAATTTCCATCTAAATACAATACGTTGAAATAACTTACTGTTCAAAGTTTTTAGATATGTAGACAATCATCATAAAATCACTGAAACAGTATTTAGGAATATACATACATATATATATATATATATATATATATATATATATACGTATATATACCTACTTATAGATTATGTTATCGAAAAGAGAGGTATATTTGGGTAGATGATAAATATAATAAACAACCTAGATAATCTAGCATGAGAAGTGCCCATGAACGAAAGGAAAATCAAAAACACAATTTTCGACAGTCAACTTGAAAAACCTGCTAAGTAATATCTGACTGTAAGTGATTAGTCAAGATACGTGTAGAACTACTTACATGTGGATATCTATCATCATTTTTTCCGAGTACTAAGACTAACATCGTGTTGAAGAAAAAACACTGTTATGTCTCCTCCTACACTACCAACAAAAGCTTCTGGGTTTTAAAAGATAGCAAAATTAATCAATTAATCAATAATGTTTTTCAAGTTTTGAATGATGCAAGACCTTTAGTTTAGAGAATCATTGATTTTCCTTTTACAGTCAATACTGTCGATAAATCGATGCGCTCGGCAGTCAGTTGTGCACACTAGTTTGTTACAATCTAGGTTACTTCATGTAAACATGCAGCAACATGTCTATTTTTTAAAAAATCTCGCCAATTCTTACCTTGCTAAAAGAAGCTGCTTTGTTTGTTTTTTTTCTATACAAAATAACATTTGATTAAAATAAGGTTAATACACAGGAATATTTGATTACATAACATTCAATGAAAATATATCTATTTAGTATTATACAAAAAAGGTAATTTAGCTAGGAAGATTGCAATGTCCAGCTAACCCCGATTGTTAGTAGTTTTATCAAATAACTGTTTACTAATACGGATACAGATAGCTGGTACTATAAAACGTTATACAGCCTACCAACAATAGATACATTAAAAAGAAAGATCAGTGTTGTTAACTGTGTTAGTCATAGACAGCTGATTTTAAGTTTAGGCTATAAATCATGTTAATGACTTAACCGTTTTTGATTATTCTGCTAGACAAGCAATCGCTGTAGAATTAACCAAATGTAACCGCAACATGAATTAAATTTAGGCTAGCCTTTACAGAGGTAGTCACGCTGTGGTGGTTCATATGTTGATATCATGAAAGTTTAATGGGAGTCGTTCTCATGTTGCTAGAGACAGGAGGGGATAAAGTGGGTGGTAATTGTTTTAATCAATACAAACAGTTTGTGTCAAATTTTAACTAAAGTATAGAAGGTGAACGCAAAGATATAAATATGGAATGGTTTTACCAAATGTAATGACAGGTACATGTTTCTTTTGCTGTTGTTTAGTCAAAATTACATTAATTTCTTACACTTATATTCAGCTTTAATCAACTTACTTTAATAACCATAACAACAGTAGGCATGAGGCCTTTTTTTACATTGGCCGTTTTATAAAAAAAAGCATAGGCCTAATAAATTATTGATTTTTCTAGCCAGCCAATAGATTATCAATAAATCGATGACTTTCTGCAATTATTGCGCTCTAGCGTTAGCTACAATAAAAGCAGCATAGGGAAAAAAATAGTCTGGCTTGCCCAAATTGATTAATTCAATATATTTATACCCGGCTTAGACTGTATGGCAGTAGTTTGAATGTTTTTGCACGACAACTTCAGCATTTAGTATAAAAACTGTGACAGTGTTCTAGAGAAAACTGTTGGTGCTGTTCCGAATACGTAGTAACTGTAATCCTTTTGAAGTCGCAATGCGCGACTCGGATTGAAACTGTACCATGTCCAAATATACAAGGACCATAACTATCTCAATCATTTACTCTATCATTGTTGGAGTAGCGCCCCCTGTGTTTATTACTTGAAGTACGTGAACGAAGATAAAATTGTCCCTTATTTAAATAATCTGGCCACCATTTTCAGCTGATAAAATAAATATTAGAGTTTTCTAACCAGTGTGTTATTTAACAAGCAGCAGTATATTAAGAGCTGCTTTAGTACAGTATGCGACGTGCAGTCACTGACATTTAACTTTTCTGTTATATTTATGGTATGTATTGATTATAATTTTCCTGTTGCAACTTGTATAGCGTTAAAAGAAGTAATGCGAAAAAATAAAAACGTTTCCGGTTTAAAACATGAAAGAATCATCTACACATAAGTGCATGGAATTTCCTTAATCGATATTTAAATAGTTGTGTATTAAAAGAAAACCAGTTTTCTCATTTTTAGTGCATTATTACATTAAGGCTTGTTATTAAAACGTTTTTATGCATTTTTTAAAAATTAATATAATTAATTGATAGAACCTTTTAGCTTTAAACAGTGCTTAAAACAAAATGTCTAAAGTATAAAATTAAAAAATAAAATGTAAGTAGCTCATACTGCTGAGCGGAATCAATCAATAGTGTGCTATCGTACAAGAGAACTGGTTACCGTATAAGTGTAGCTGTATACGTCATTTCCTCCTGAGTCCATACGTTCGATAAATCTTTATTTACATCGACTTACCGTTACACAGTGTTTGTCAAGGAACGTTTGAAGTGACGTTAGAACATAAAAGGGGCTAGCAACAAAAGTTTTATATGAATACTTTTGCATCAGTGCCGTAAAACCAATCTAAATTATTGAATAAAATTAGGAACTGGTAAGTAAAACCTTACAAATGAAAAAAATATTAAAACGTCACATACAATACATGCTATCAGTTTTACATTTTCTCTCTTACATATATATATATATAAATATATATAAATATATATATATAAATATATATATATATATATATATATATATATATATATATATATATATATATATATATATATATATATTATATCATGAACCTGTGTATTCGTGTTTATGGCAGGACATATAAATGAAATTGATACTATTTTTAGATCGTGTCTTGAATGTTATCTTCTGCGTCGATTCTGTCAGCTTGCATGTCAAATTCTTATCTGAATGTTACTACACATAAATCATAACTGGTTTGTGTTAGATAAAGCTTAACAAGTGTTAACTTTTAGAACGCTGTCTGCCTACACAGGTGAGGTGTGCACACAAGAATAGACTCGTCAGCCTCCTTCTCCAAATTTTCGTTTGTTTTCAAACACATCCGGCAACCTTGACTTTCTCCCCAGCACAAATCTTTGTCCTCCACGTCCTACGAGCAATAATTTTAGTCTGTCAGTCTCGCATTTTCGAAAAAAAATTGAGAATTCTTCAATAAATGCTATAAAATAATGGTCGAACAAGGATGGGTCAATTTAAAAACCTCCCTGTGTTATAATGCTTGTGTTGAAAAATTCATATAAAATGTTTTATCTTAATCTCGTTTCGTGTTACAAGCGTTTAAATTAATTTAAAAAATAATAAATTGTAGCTGTAATATTAAACAAAAGGTCAAGAAAGATTTTCGACATGTTCTTAACACCAATTACTTTAGAAAATTCTTCTTTGTTTTTTCAAATATAGGCTGTATAGATTAACTAACTTGCACGATTACTCGTTTTTTTTTAGCCTCTTGCAGATAAGATTATCAGAGCCAACATGGGGTGCTTAACATTTAGGCCAAGGTCATAGCCTTTGATAAGAACTGAAACAGAATAATGCAGCTTTATCTGAGTGAATAAATGGATTCAGTGACTGCATATTTTTGTCAAGACTGGTTTGTATAAAATTTGCTTACTTTTTGTTTGGCTGTAAAGTATTTTGACACTCTCTAGTTTTAATTGTGAATAGTGAGTATAAGTAAATATAATTTAATGTTAATAATGTATCTATCATCGAATACATTATTTTTTTTTAAAAAATTAACTGCACTTAGTTATTTGATTTAAATAATATAATTACTAAGCATTTGATAACTGATAGATAGTTTTTAAACGATCAACGAAAATATTTTTTTTTGAAATTCACAACTTGAACTCACAACTGAATAACTAAGGTGCTTGTTTTGCTGATAAAGCTTGCGAGTGCGACAGATAGGCTGATGTGTTTACGTGAATTCTTTTTAATGTTTTTGTATGCGGAGTATAGAGAAAGTATTGTTATTGCAAAGAAATCAAAATAGAGATTTTCACAAATCACGTTTTACATCTCTTCAATAGTCGGAAAAACTTAGTTTTGGTAATGTGTCAGTATGTGAGTGTGTGTCTATGTGTGTGTCTATGTCTCTGTCTGTGAATAACTTTGAGTACTGTTACAGCTAGGTCGACGACATTTCTTATATAAATATCTTATCAAATTTAAAGTTCTGTATCAAGTTTTAAGCAATTTCCGGTAGGCGTAAACGGAACTCATGCTACTTTCGGTTTCTCAAAGTCCTATAACTTAAGTACTGTTTCAGTTAGATAATAGAAATATCAACTTTGGGTAGAAAATCAAATTCTGTTTCCAACAAATTTTAAGCGATTTTCGGTGACCAGAAGTAGTACTTTACGCTGTTTCCGATTTATCAAAAAAACGCATATGAATTTATTTGTAACTTGACCCCTCTGTCTTTCTTAATATACAGATTGTTTGCTATTCATTTGGTGAACTTTTTTTTCTACGACATTTGTCTAATTTAAAAAGTTTAAGTATTTGAAAATTAATTTTTAAAATTTCTATATCCTGACTGCACTGGAGTTATCATCCCAATTAGCGTTGAAAAGTGTAACAGACTGTATTATTGGGTATGATTATTCTATTGTATTTTAACATAAAGCATGAATGTAAAATACCTGGCCAACGGAAGGACTGTGTGAGCGACTCGTCATGTTTTTTCATGCTTTTTGTTAGATCGCTCACTGACGTAAGGGGAGAGAATGTAATGTATAAAAGGGGAGCGCAAGGTGAACTAAGTGTGCTTGCCTGTGTCTGTGTAGTAAGATGTAAAATGTTACCACGTCACTTTTTTTTCTAGATTGTAATTTGATAGTAGTTTTTTCTACCATGGATTATCGTCATTACTGTTGTGGATCTATGTAAATAAAGTTGAAAGTTAAAAAGTATTGTTGATCGTGTTCTTGGATGAAATAACCCTCAATAAGAACTATGGATTATATACAAGTTGTTACAAAAAGAATATTCGAGAAAGTTGAAGGAAGATCACGCTCGCTAGCATTTATTTATTTTACTAAAGGCTTGACAATTTTCAATATAATAATTCAATTTCATTTAACAGTTTGTCCGGAGGATGCATTCGTGCTATTTGTTTTTCGGTCGATTATGCACTGCGTCACATTATACAATATAGTTTATTTCTATTTCTCGGCTATTTTCGTTAGTTTATTTGATAATGGGTTAAAAATTATAAGAATAAATGTTATGATTTAGTTATATGATTTATCTAAATCAATTTTTTTATAAATTACGAATAACTGGTGACTGGAATAACTATATCGTATTTTAATTTCAGGAAGTAAAGATAAATCATACAGCCAAAATATAGACTTCTGTAGCTGTAAATCTGGAATACACTCGGGTGCTTTTAGATGGCTTCATTTCGAAATGCTAGTTGTATACTTCTTGATAGCTTCATGTGTATATCTCGGAAACCACAGTGGAACAGTCTGCTAAATTTATCCTATGACGGTGATACAGAAAAGGTAATGATGTGTTTGAGACGCAGACAGGATATCAACGCCGTCGATGACGAAGGATTAACTGCTCTCATGATTGCATCTTATCGAGGTCATAATGAGCTTGTCAAGCAACTAGTTGAGTGTGGTGCTGATGTCAATGCTACAACAAAAAATATGATCAACGCGCTGATGTTTGCTGCTTGTCAGGGTCATGATTATATTGTATTTTGGTTGATAAGATTTAATGCAAATTTTAAACTCATTAACTCACAAGGCGACAACCCTTTAATGATAGCTGCTGCAAAAGGACATTTGAAAATAGTTGAATTGTTGTTAAGCCAAAATATTGAAGTAAATTTAATTAACAAAGGTAAGCGAAGCGCATTGATGTCCGCCACTTTGTCTGAACGTGAAAATGTCGTAGACGTGTTATTAAAACACAAAGCTGACGGTAACATGTTAAATGATCAGCATGTAACCTGCCTTATGATCGCTGCTGAAAAAGGAAATGTAGGGATTGTGCAATCACTTTTGGATCACCGTGTTAATTGCAATATTCTAAATAAGAAAAAATGCAATGCTTTGATGTATGCTGCAAAAAATGGACATTCTCAAATTGTGAGTCTGCTTTTAATTAACGGCATCGATGTAGACACTGTAAATGCCGAAGGTGAAAGCGCACTTACGCTTGCACTTAAATTCGGGCATTTGGAAATCGTAGGGTTATTAATTCAAAGGGAAGGTGTCTCTCATCAGAGTATAACGATACAATCAACTGAAGATTTAACGTGGATACAGCAAAAAGATTTCGGTTCCAGGATTATTTCAGAACTTTTAAACAACGCAACTATGCTAAATTGTCCCAGTATTGATTATATTCTACAAAACTATTACATGTACACAGATCAATTAAAATGTGGAGAATTTAGTGAATTAGACAGTGTTATTATAAACATAACTAAAGATGGTTATTTAAAAAAAGATGCTATTTGCAAGATGGTTGACAAGATAAACATTCTACCCTTACATTTGGCAACGCACTTGAGTTTGACAGATGTTGTAAAAGTCTTACTAAAACATAACGCTGATGTGAATGCTCAAGATCATAACGGAGATACCAGTTTAATGATTGCCTGCTCGTACTCTAATTCTGAATTAGCCAAACTTCTGATTACCGCAAACACAAATTTGCATTTAAAAAATTCTGTTGGTTTTACTGTGTTACACATTGCTATCCAAAACGAATTAACAGAAGTTGTTGAAATGTTAATAGAAAATAAATATAATTTAAAAACTGAATCCGAAAAAGGAGTCAATGCATTAATTCTTGCTTGTTTGTTTGGAAACGATAAATTAGTTGAAAACTTAATACATAAGAATGTTGATTGCAACCACGTTTTAACAAATGGTGTAAGCCCTCTAATGTTAGCATCTTACCTAGGCCATCTTAAAATTGTTCAACTTTTACTCGCACATGAAGCGAATATCGATTGTTTTCATGAAACGGCTTGTGCTACAGCTTTAGCACTCGCATCATGTGAAGGAAATAATGAAATAGTAAAATTACTATGTGAGTGTGCTATGTCAAAAACGCAGTCAGACTGCTCTAAAATCGACACCATTAACTTCCAGAACATTTATGGTTTGACCACACTGATTGAAACCGTGTGCAATGGTAAAACCGAAACCGTAAAAATCCTTTTAGATTTTTCACCAGACTGTAGTCTCTCATGCAAAATAGGCAGAACTGCCTTACATAGAGCAGCTGAAAAAGGTTTTTTTGAAAGTGCACAATTACTGCTGAAACACAACACCCCAGTCGATAAACTTGATGATTATGGATTCAATGCTTTAATGTTGGCGTCAGCGAATGGTCATATTGATATCGTACGAGAACTGATAAATCGTGGTGCAGAGGTTAACCGCATCAGCATTGATGGTCTAACTGCCTTAATACTGGCTGTATCAAATGGACATTTGGACGTGGTCAAGATGCTGGTGCAACACGGGGCAGATGTTAATTTAGAGAGTCACCCAATGTATAACGCTGTATCAGTTGCCCTGGTGGAAGGCCTGGACGATATTGCAAGATTTCTTATAACTAAAAATGCAAAAGGGTACCACGCATTGAAGGTTGCCGTCAAACTCGGCTTTAAAAATGTTGTAGATCTGCTGTTAAAACATGACGATACATATCTAAACGATGCAGTGCTTTTGGCTGCTAAGTATCATATGTTGGACATTTTGCAAATGATTTTAAAAAACGTTGTCAAGCATGTCACTGTGGAAACAAGTGGTCACTCGACGAAATCTGCAAGTCAGTTTAATCTAAAAAATACTCCCATCTACGGTATAACGGCAACAGATCAACCAGAAAATTGTGAGAATATTCGAATAATGGTTCTGAAATGTTACAAACAAAAAGTTTTTACGAGTATTGAAATTATATCCTCTAGATTTAACTTTTTATTTTCTAGCAAACTAATCAGCATTATGTTTTATTTAGCTGAATGCATGCACATTGTTGTGTTGGAGCCAATATTTTATCTACATGTCCTTGAAAATAAAAGCTTTTGTTTCTGGTTTTTTCTTTTTTATGCAATCGAAAACAGACGTAGTTTTGAGATAATCATACGACGCACAATACAAGCATATGAAGGTAAATAAATCTACATTATTAATACTTATTTGAGTGAAAGTGTACATACTTTGTTCTCTTTTAATTTTGAAATCGTATTAAGAAATCAAAATTGAGTCGATAAGTAGCAACATCAAATTATAATCTTTGTTGTCCACTTAAAAACCTTATTTTTAACAGCATCTATATATATATATATATATATATATATATATATATATATATATATATATATATATATATATATATATATATATATATATATATTCACTTATACACTTTTTCTTAATCTTTTTAGGAGAACCAGAACGAATTTCAAAATGTATAATTGTTCCAAAAAACATAAATTATGAAAAATTTAAAGGGTAGGTATTTATAATGTAATCTTTTAAATTAATGTGAGTATTTAAAATTTATATTTAACCCTGAACCCGTTTCGATATGTATATCTTTAGTATTATAATCATACATTAATAAACTACATTAGTGTTATTTAAGATGTTTATCTTCCTCATGCTAGTTCGATTTACAAATAAATGTTTTAATCACTTTTTAATTTTCAATTTTTGTTTTAATTATACGGGTCGACACTAGGTATATAGTTCATTTACCATAACAAAAGAAAATGTATTTGGAAAATAAAGGAAAATAAAGGCTACAATCACGCTGAAGAATTGGAAATTTTTAAAAACCTAAATGCCTGAAATTTTATTTTCCGAGACCAGAAATAGTACTCTAAGCTCTCTCCGATTTCTCAAAAAATATCGATTCTGCTGGACTGATTCATTTTAAAATTTTCACGAAGGTAATATCTCACTGACAATAAACTGTGACATAAAATGTGTCTTAATTAGATGTTTAATTGACATTTTAAAATTAGTCCATAATCGTTTTATAAAGGACTAATATTCCTCTCAATTATGCACACACTGTTTACGTTCATTTGTTAGCGCACTTCCTTTTTACTTTCTCGTATATAGCCTACGAAGTATAGAGAAAGTCTTGTAATCGTGCAAAAAAAAAAATAGAGATTTTTACAAATCACGACGTTTTACATCTCACTGATACGGAAAAACATAATTTTGCAAACTTGTCCGTATGTCTGTGTGTCTGTCTGTCTGTGTGTCTGTGTGTGTGTGTAAACACGATTACTTGAGTACCGTTACAGCTAGGTTGCTGAAATTTCATATATAAGTATTTTATCAAAATCGTAGATCCATGTCATGTTGCATGGTCTTCATGGCTTGACCAACGTACGAATTGCAATAGAAATGCTTATATTATTTATTTTTATTAATACTTAAATGTTTAAATCGAGTATAGAATACCTTTTTAAAATAAACCGGGAGTGATCTCCCCTAAACTTTCTCGAATATTCTTATATAACTCGGAATATAGACATGATTTTTAATTACTTAAACTTTTAACAATAGAATAGAATTTCATAGAAAAAAGAATTGGGCACCAAGCGAACACAAAAAAGATGCATTATAGTGCGCAATAGTATTAGTACTTTATAAATTTACATGCTTTTTTTGAAAAATCGGAAGTAGCGTAAATTAGTACTTCCGGTCAACGGAAATTACTCAAAATTTAACAGAAGGTAGAAAATTAGATCTTTTACTAACATGTGAAATTTCATTTATCTATCTGAAATAGTACTCAAGTTATAGGCTTTTGAAAAATTCAAAGTAGAAAAAGTACCACTTCCGGTTATCGGAAATCGCTCAAAAGTTGATACGAATCTCCGATTTTGATTAAATACTTATATATGAAATTTCATCAACCTAGCTGTAACGGTACTCAAGTAATCGTGTTTACACACAGACACACACACAGACACACAAGCATACGTACAGAATTGCACAGCCCAGTTTTTCAGACTGGATTACGCATAAAACCTTTTAATTTTGATAAATCTGGATTGATAATTTATGCCCGATTAAAATAAGTCCTCTATATTTCGGATGTGAAGAAGGACTGAAGTGTAATATGGTGAAAATTGTTAAAATTTCAAGTGATTTTTGTGCACGATTACAATACTTTCTTTATACTTCGTATATACGAGAAAGTAAAAATTATAAAAAATGTTTTAATCACAAGCTTTTAAGTAGTAAGGCACAAAAAGTAGAAAATAAATTATACACTAGTATTTAAATAACTATAAAGAAAAGCGTGGGTTTTTCCTAAATATCAGTAAAGGTATCCAATAGATACTAAAGTGACCCACGCTTTTCTTTATAGTTATTTAAACAATAGTGTATACTTTGTTTTTTCCTTTTTAGTGCATTATTTTACATAAACGCTTGTTATTAAAACGTTTTTTTTTTTGTGAATATATTTTTGGTACTTTACATGTTTTTATTTTTAATAGAGTTACATGACTAAAAACCAGTGCTCACCTATTGAACGTGATGGCGCGCTAATGAACGTTATGACGCGTGTTGAGTAGTTGGATAGGTCTGCCTACTAATTTGGACACATTTTTAATTAATTTATAAAAAATTAATCTGGCGACAAATTAACTCAAATTGAACGTCATGATGCATTGTCTTCATGTCTTGACCCACGTACCAATTACGAACCGTATCTGTCAGTTAGAAGTGCCCGCAATTTCGCTCAGCCGTTTCGATCTAGACAGACTGACGAAAGACTGACGACAGACGATAGACAGAGGAAGTAAGTTAAATAGAAGCTTGTAAAAATTTCATAAAAACGTTTTAATAACAAGCGTGTATGTAATAATGCACTAAAAAGTTGAAAATAAGTTATACACTACTATTTAAATAACTATAAAGACAAAACTTGCTTCTCTCCCAAATATTAGTAATGGTATCCAATAGATACTAAAGTGACTTACGCTTTCCTTTAAAGTTATTTTAATGTTATTTATGAATTTTTTATATAATGGTATACTACATGGATCTCCAAAGTACGGCCCGCGGGCCGTATGCGACCCGCGATGTTTGTCGGAAAAAAACGTTTGTCGGAGATGGCTGAGGAACTTTGCCCAGAAAAATCACGACATGCTTGGAAGAAACTGGCCCCCGAGCTGAAATTTGGGCTACAGGACATTACCCTCCTGGATATTCCCCCCCGGACGATTCCCCCCCCCCCCGTATTTACCCCCCGGAGCAATTACCCCCCTGTCAATTACCCCCTGTCAATTAAGCCCCCGGGGAATTACCCCCCCCCCCCCTCTCAAGTTAAAATCCTAACTCTAACTAGAATTTTATACCTATATACTACTTTAAACCAAACCTTAAGAAAAAGACCAAAACCTAAGCATACACCTTAGCCTAAAACTTCAAACAAAACCAAAACCAAAGCCAGACACAACCCTAACCCTAAAACTAGCTCTAACCCTAACCCTAGCCCTAACCCTAACCCTAATCTTAACCCTAACCCTAACCCTAGCCCTAATCCTAACCCTAGCCCTAACCCTAACCCGAGCCCTAAAACCTAACCCTAACCCTAACCCTAACCCTAACCCTAGCCCTAAACCTAACTCTAACCCTGTCCGGGGGGTAATGTCCTTCTGGACGGGGGGGGGGGGTAATTGACAGGGGGTAATTGACAGGGGTAATTACTCTGGGGGGTAATGTCGGGGGGGGGGAATATCCGAGGGGAATTGACAGGGGGGAAATTCCCTGTTCCCGAAATTTGATAGTTAATGCGGCCCTCGGACTGAAAAGTTTGGAGATCCCTGGTATACTAGATAAGTTAAGGGGAGATCACTCGCGCTTCATTTTCTAAATCTCAAAATAACAAAACAATAACGCATTTATATATTTTATACTTTAATTCTGTACACGTGTCATTTGCATATAAATAAACTCTTTATTTACAGATCCTTGATTTGCCTACGAGTCTTGAAAATAGCAAAGGTACGTTAGTACTAATAGTATTATACAATGTGCATCAATATAGCAGATAAACTTTTAATGTGCAATATAAATGTAGCATACGTTATCAAGTATTGCCATACTTTTAACACGTTTTTTAACACGTTTTTCTTAACTCAGCTTCGCGTTTGTGGGTTTGTTGTTAAAATTGACAACGAAAATTAGCCCACTTATGATTGCTCTATACATCTGAAATTCGGCATGCAGGCTATTTTCGCCTAACAATTTCAGATGCAATCATAAAAACTAGCAACTAGAGACCTAAATTAGCTTAATTAAATTACGCCACAAGGACCCTAAAATTGAGGACATGATTTCTAAAGATACCGAAAAGACTGGAGGCCTATTGACACAGTTACTTCGGCCCCAATCGATGTGAGCGCGCTGGCCGTGATCGTATAGTGGTTAGTACTTCGCGTTGTGGCCGCGACAACCCAGGTTCGAATATTGGTCACGGCATTTGATGACAACAACGTGGGTACATTCACCATCAAATTTCCAAAATTCGTGTCATCAAATGTCATCGCTTAACAATTTCAGATGCAATCATAAAAAATTAGCAATTAGAGACCTAAATTAGCTTAATTAAATAACGCCCCTTCTCTGTTTAAAGCGTATCGGTCGCTCAAGATTTTTAGTCCGTGTATTTAAAAACACTTAGTCAAGTCATACTTAATCAAGTCATTAGATAAAATAGAAAATAAACTATATAAAAAAGTTTTTTAAAAACCACGTTTTTCATGTGTATCAATGGACTAAAAAGGAGAAAATAAAATACTTAAAAAAAACTTTTTTAAAAAAACACGTTTTTCTTGTGGACTAAAAAGTAGAAAATAAATTTTTCTTCCGACCCTAGGGGATCTACCAATGACTGCTCGTAGATTTTGTGCTTCCTCGAGCTGTGCAGGTTCTTGTGATGACTGTTCATACATTTGATGACAAAAAACGTGGGTCGGGCAGATTTATGATTAAAGCGAAAAGCACACAACACACGAATTTTGGAAATTTGATGGTGAACGTACCTACGTTTTTTGTCATCAAATGTATGAACAGTCATCACAAGAACCTGCACAGCTCGAGGAAGCACAAAATCTACGAGCAGTCATTGGTAGATCCCCTAGGGT